ATTGGAAAAATAATGGATTTCTTTTTACTACATCTAATATATTGTATATATTAAGAAAAAATACAAAACTAATATAATAATAATGCACATAGCCTTTGGCAAAATGAAATGATAAAATAAAATAATAATGCCAAGAAGAAACGAAAAAAATTAATGCTAATCATACAGTATATGGAAGATGTGTGTGTGTAATTGCGCATTTCGAAACGCTTGCGCATAGTTGCCCGCCGCGACCTGACTCGGTAAAAAATACGATTATTTCAACAATTCCTATAACCAAACTTAATAAATAACAGCTCAAAAGATGCACATAATAACGTACTTTAACATATGCAACTTTAAACAATCAAATTAAAAATACGGACTTACCATCTTATTTTCTGAAAGCTAAAATAACAAGAAAAAATATGATTTCACTTTTTTGTATTTCTCTGGCTAGCAATGTGTTTACGTATCTTTTGTAGTTATATCTTAAGAGGATGACGTGCGTAAAAAATTTTACCACGGTGATATCTTCATCTATTGAAAAAGTACCAAACCAGGATGCGCACAATTCCCCCACTTTCCTCTACGTGGTGATTGGTAAATCGTGCTGTAGAGAAGGTACTCTATAATTTTGGCATTCCACTCTTATCGCTCCAGGAGGCCAATTTTAAAGAGACTTTACTGTAGGACGGCTCACCGTCGTAGATTGCTAGGCATGCGAGTTGTTTATTACAAGCAGCCTTAGCAACGCACGAACAGCGAAATAAAACATCTTCCCACGCTAGGCAGTTGTATGTTGTATCATGTTGCGCGCTTGCATTTGGTGGTAGGCTAGGTGAATACGTATTTATTTGGTGATTTTTAGAAATTAATATTTTGTTAACTATTGTGAAAATTGTAAAAATGGATAATTTTTTACTCAGTCCCCTCTATTTCCTCACGAGAGATGATCCAGCAGGTATGAAACGTCCTGTATATGACAAAATTTTTTATCGGAGTCATATCTGGCCAGATCTGTTGAACCTAAATATAATCATATCTCGACAGATCTAATCTTTTTTCCTCAGAAGTAATACGTATTTAGCAACTCTCTTCTATGTGGAAGCTGCTTGCTAGATCATACATCGAGAACAAAGATATTATCCAATTTTTTAATAGATTGAGATGCACTTTCTTCACATTTCTTTTTCTTCCTGCGAATGATCGATTACTGAAAGCGCAACTATAAGAAATTTGAAAAAAGAGAAGCTCTGCACAATTCTACTTGTCGAAATGGATAGTATTTTTATTCAACACTGTACAAACATATTAAGCGATTTATTTCATTAAAATAATATAAAAGATTGGAACATATGAAGAGCTGCAAGGTAAAGACACAATAGGAAGAGAGAAAACTCTAACCTTTTAACAAAATTTGAACATTCTAGATTGATATGAAAACCGAGACGCAGTAAGAAAAGTTCAAGGTTTTCTTTCGGGGCTAGAGATACGTCTAGCTAATTGTTGATGGATGGCAGCGACGTTTTGATCCTTTGATGGCGGTACGATACATTCCTTTTCCGCGATAGTCGTAGCCGCAATTACACATGATTTGTTATTTTCATGGCTTGGCGAAACGTCTCTTACTAATCCATGAAGAAACATCGCGACACATGGCCATGGAAATATCCTGCGTTTTAACGAGTATATAATTTTTTTCATATAAGCGATAAAATAACGAAATAACAAATTTACTTACCACTTTAAAGTAAGCAAAATTTGTAAGTAGCCTGGAATGATGGCATACTTTTCGTTACACCTCATCGCCATTATTATTCTATCGGCTACAGCATTTGGACTTAGAGTCGGGATGTATCTAAAGTTTGAATATTGTACATACTTTCATACATGTAACAAGCTAATTTATTTACATTTATATTATTAGAAAAAATATAAATAATAATATATTTATTTCTAAAATAATAGCTTATAAAAAATTTTCGAGGATTTCTAAAACATTGAGCAATTTCGTATATTCATTATATTATCATAAATATCAAAATCTCATCTACCTTGATTGAACATCATCGAACATGCCAGTACTACGGATAAAATAAGGACATACAACTGTTGTGTTGATATTGTACCCTTCGTACTAGAACAGAATAGAATAAGAATGAGTTGATCGACTAGTTATGTAATAATTATGTAATAGTACCTAAAAAAATATGAGTAGCTAATTCAGATAGCAAAATGTTAGCGGAATGTCAACAAATTGATAGCAAATTTTATTAGAAAATGTTAATAGATTAACGTCAACTGTCACATTCTGCTCCTATTTTGTCGTCAAATCCCTCCACGCGAATATCTCGTCAGGTAAGCAAAACAGCGAAAAATGTTGTATGGTTTTGAGAGGGACATAAGATAGTGTCATTAGTTTAACCTTGAATAATTGTATGAAGATCACATAAAAGTCACTTTTAATTTCTCAAATAAAACGCCTCATTTTTTTATTGCATATTCTTGTAGCATAGCTCGAGAGCTTTCCACCATAATTAAATTCATTTTGATTAAGTAACTTTTAATTAACTTTTTATAAGGCTTGCAAGTTACAGCACTGCCAGTATTAGCATTACCCAAGGTGTCCGACCGACTAAAACTTCTTAAATATTGTTTAGGATCATAACCTGGATAACATTTGTTAAGATCCAGATCTTCCGTCAAAAAATTGTTCCATCCCATCGTAATATAGAAAGGTCATATGTTCGGCACCTGCTGTTATTATATTTACATATAAAGTATATCTCCTTTAAATGTTTTTATTTGGTTTTCATTTGTGCGTCAGTTTTGATAAAACCCATTCCTTTCATTTAGGTTCTAATGATCTATATATATCTATATATTTATGGCGCTTTCCGTCCATTAATTGGATTATTAGTTTTTCGATAATTCAATAAAAATTTCCATGTCCGTCCAGTTCGATCTTTTTATTTTTCTCAAATTTGCATTATTCAAAGATTCATACGAGCATTCTTTGGCTTGTTCATTTAGTAGTGAAAAAGTTCTTATAATATCTCAAAATATTTAGAAAAAAATCGTATTTTAAATTTATAAAGATTAAGAATAATTTTCAGAATAATCTATTGAATAACTTGTTCAATAAATTACAGTTACCTCAAGTTCCATTCGAAGAGCTTCATCAAATCCCATTGCCGCAAATTTGGATGCACAATAGTCTATCAATTTTGGAATCCCACATTGACCGGCTAAACTGGCCACGCTCACGATATGTCCTTTATTGTTTTCCAGCATCATTGGAAGAAAAGCTTTTACAGTCTAAAAAAGAGTTATGGCAAAGTATTTATTAGAGCTCGGAATATCCAAGTACCCGTCCTCCCATTCCGTTATACGTGTAGATCTGAACCGGTTCCGCTAATTCGAGTACTCACAGAACCGTGTACGATGCGAGTACTCGTGGAACCGTGTGCGATACGGATATCCGAAGAATCGTGGGCAATATGGATATCCGTTTTGATGCAAGTATCCGCTACATGCTACAAATATCTACATGTAATTTTGCAAATTTTAAGGGTATGCGTTTTACAATTATTTGTAGTCATTCTCATTCCATTTGTAATTAAAATATTGCGGAACTAAACTATTTCATTTTAGCATTATGAATATTAAATACATTTCCAAATTTAATTTGCTTTGTAGGAACTGTATGACCAGTACATTCTTAATTCAAACTGTTTAACTACAAACAAAATAAAAATTAGTATAAACAATTCTAAAACGCCTTTAAAATTGACAAAATTACACGCAGATATCTGTAACATATAGTGGATATTCGCATCAAAACAGGTACCCGTATCGCCCACGATTTCGCGAGTACCTATATTGCAGATGGTTCTGCGGGTATTCGCATCGTACACAGTTCTACGAGTACCCGAATTAGCAGGTACCCCGAGTCGTATGCATGGGTAACGGATCTACGGGTGAGTAGTCGAATTTTATGTTATTCAATATCTTTTCCAAGCTCTAGTATTTATTAGTTCTATTATCTAATCATTGATATTATGCCTATGATGCGTCCGCGCCATCCGAAACATTATCTTAGCACTGTGAAACTTCGCCAAGTTCATAAGCGCTCGAAAGAAGGGAGTGCATTTATGTTTTGAGAGTTTCTAGTTAGAGAGCCTCACAGGGAGAATGGCAAATTGCATCACGTGACCCATCTCTTTTGATTGGACATGGGCAAAACTCCAATAGCCATGGAAAAAATTGGAGAAAACTGGTCACCCCAGTCTTGATTGGACGTGGGCATTCAAGTGATGCAATTTGCCACTCTCTCCCTGTAAAGCTCTCTAATTCTAGTTCCCTGGTCTCTGAATGAAGAGAGAGTTCACAAGATCTAAATTGGTTCCGCATAACATTTCCAAGTCTTTGTACATAATCATTCAGCAAATACAAAGTTACATATAACGTACCTGTGTTATATTACAGTTATATTGTTGAATGGAAAATCATAACTAATGGGTACGTTACATGTAAATTTACTAGGCAGTTCTGTAATTACAGTTCCTGTTTCTAAACTTATTAATGTCGGTATGCATAGTCAATTCTTATGTCTAAGACTATTTAAGTACTATTTATAATCTTAAAATGTCATGAATCAGAGAGCCGTATTAACAATTGAAAGCTCAGTTCTACAACTCACGGTTAACTCTTAAGGGGATTCTGGATCGATGGCCGAATTTAATCAAGATCGATAGTACAGATCTTTTTTAATTCCAAATTCAATAATAATGACATCTTTCATTTATTTCTTGTACTTATTATATATCGTTGTACTTCGCTCAAACGCATTCATCTGTCCTTATCTTGCAACGCCATCTCTTAGAAGATCGAACACCTGCTAAACACAATTACTGCTTTATTTACCATTCCGAATCTTCGCTTAGCGTTCATATACATATCATTTGTAGATCGATTTCTTTTGAAACTTTTAATCTTAGTTTCATAAATTCAGTATTGTTTGTGTATGTAATGCACTGAGTGCTGCAATATCATTTGATCCATACGAGCTATAAAATTTTTGTAGGAAGGAAATATCTACGGCAGTTGACAGTTCTATGAGTTGAAAAAGTGTAAGTTTTTAACTTTTTTTCGATTTTATTAGGAGTACAAATTAGTTCGGTTCATTTTTTGTGTTCAAAAATGTATTTATTTCAAAACAAAATGAATGAATAGATTAATTAAAGTATTGTCCATCGCTGGCTACTACTTTTCATCTCTCAGACAATTTTCGAATTTCATCTCGAAAAAATGACTCGTCTTTGGAGGCGATCCAATTTTGGAGCCAATTTTCGATTTCTGCAAAAGAAGTGAACCGATGACTTGCCAAATCGTGCTGCATCCTTCAGAACAACCAATAATCAGAAGGAGCAATGTCTGAAGAATACAGCGGGTGCAGTACAACATCCCATTTGAGCGTTTCCAAATATTTTTTTACGACTTTAGCGACATAACGCCGAGCGTTGTCATGAGGAAAAATAACTTTATCATGTCTTTGCTCGTATTCCGGCCGTTTTTCTCGCAATGCACAGCTCAAACGAATCAATTGTAGCCGATATCGATCGTCCGT